GAGAGATCCTCAGGTACGAGTGCAGCTTATCTGACACACATCAGATCCAGTCAGTCAGAAAAGGACACTAACACTCTAACAGAAACATCAGAATTACGTCTATTCAGCTCTGAGGTCTGGGTGCTCCTCATTCTGAGGTTCAGCCACATCTGAATGAAGTCCCAGTGGTCCACTTAGGAAACCACCAGTTTCAACACTTCTGAGTTCTGGCCCTGGTTTCCAGTATTCACCTTTTTGTTTAGAGCCAACATTTGCTCTGGTACCAGTAGGTAGTCTGGAACAAAAGCAGGACTAAACAGAAGAAGAAGCTGACTGAGACTGTTCCTCCTCCTGGTTGCTTCACCTTTTAAATAGAAATCCTCTGTGTTGGTTATTTATTTATTTATTTGTTTATTTATCTAACTGCTGGAAACTTTTTTAGTTCTTTCTTTTTCTTCTTCACATTGTTCTGATATATATATAGTTTTTGAAAGGTTTAGAAATCTGGTCCAGGTGATGTGGTCAGTGAGCCAGTAGAGGGGTTAAGCTGTCTCATTCGTGTACCCGTGATGCAGAGCAAATCTGATAAAGAGACACATCTCAGGTGCCATAAGTGATGTTCCCAAGCTGATGCACATTTAAAAATCCCTCATAATACATGGATATTTTAATTTTCTGAACCTTGTTACTGTATCAGAATCATTCTTTGTTGTCTTTGACATTTTCTCTAAAGATGTGAATGAACTTTCATTTGTGTAAAAATGCTAAATTCCAGCCAGTGTTTCTTTCTTATAAGCTTTTATTTTGGTAAATTTATCTGAAAAACAAAACTTAAACGGAACTTTTTTCTTTGTTATTTGTGTGAAAGGAATGTTTTAAATGGCACTACAATGGGGTGGGTATGGGATGAGTATCAGCTCCTCTAAATCCGAGACCATGGTCTTGAATCAAAACTGGGTAGAATGCCTTCTCCAGGCCTCAAGTAGAGGAGTTTAAATTTATTTTTTACGAGTGAAAAGAAAGGAGCGTGAGATCGACAGGTGGATTGGTGCTGTGTCTGCAGTGATGCGGGCGTTGTACCGGTCTGTCATGGTGAAGAGAGAGCTGAGCCAGATGGCAAAGCTCTTGAATTAATGGTCAATCTACGTTCCAATTGTTACCTATGTTCATGAGTCTTGGGTAGTGACCAAAAGAACAAGATTGCGGATACAAGCGGCCAAAATGAGTTTTCTCTAAAGAGTGGTTGGGCTCTCCCTTAGAGATAGGGTGAGAAGCTCGGTCATTCGGGAGGGGCTTGGAGTAGACCTGCTGCTCCTCCACATCGAGAGGAGCCAGTTGAGGTGACTCCGGCATCTCATCAGGATGCAGACTGGACGCCTCCCTGGTGAGGTTTTCCAGGCATGTCCAACTGGGAGGAGGCCCAAGGGAAGGCCCAGGACATGCTGGAAGGACTAATGGCGCTTACACATTAGCATCAGCATGATCAGGGTTGGGTGGGGCTGGATAGAGTGAGTTGCTCTCAAACGGGCGGTGCGGTGTTCACATGTAAACTCGAGGGACTTCTCAGCAATACAAAAACTCTCGAGCCACTTGGCGACGTTTAATATGTGCGAGAAAGTCCGCTGTGTCCTCCATAATAAGATAAACAAAGACGGGCAGGAGCTGTGTTGCTCTTGGAGACTCTAAACCACATTATTTTATTAATGTGCTGAAAGTGTCCTCATAATCTTGTGCCATGCACAGGTTTTTTCCCCGGTCAGCTGTCTGCTCGCCGGGGCAAGAGCTCCGATGCAGAGGACAGGCACACACACACACACACACACACACACACACACACACACACACACACACACACACACACACAGATTGGCAGCTCCGTGCTACAGACAGAGAAGTTTATTTATCAGCATCAGCGAAAAAATGAATTGTGCATGTGTTTCTGCAGTGAGCTGTACTGGGAGAAAAAGCGTCTACAATAGTTATCTCCATGATTAGAAAGAAGCATTGGATCATAGAAGTCTTCTTCATCTTCTCTGACCATCCCTATTCATAACTCCTGATGTTTGCTGCTATATAGTAATTTAGCTGGGGCAGACACTCAGTAACACAGCTACATAAAAAATGTCAAAGACAGAAACTGACTGATTTGGACAGAAATTCATTGCCTTTGGTGAGACGTGCCGATGCTATGTTGAAGTCTGGCTAGCAGATATCACTCATTTTTACTGGGTTCAATGTTTCACAACACTGAACCATTCCAAACCATTTGCTTCATATTTGTCCAATGGTTTGGAAAGCTTTGGTGTCTCCATCATTACTTGGGTAACCCCTGAAGGAGCTGGCCCAAGTAGCTGGGTAGAGGGAAGGCTTGGCCTCTCAGTTTAGGCTGCTGCCCCGTGACCCGACTCCGGGTAAGTGGCTGAAAATGGATGGATGGACGACTTGGAAAAATAAGTTAAAAGGGAGAATTTTATCTTGAGCCAAACAACTGAAGTTAAATTGAGTCAATGTGACTTTGTCAGTCCTGTTATAAAAACTTTAAATTTCATGTTAATTCAATTTAATGTAATAATCTACGAAAATGTATAAAATAGGTTAGAAGAACTTTTATCCATTTATCCTTATTTTTTAATAAACACATTTATAATAACTCAGTTTTGCATTTTTTACAAATTGGAACAATGACATTGAGTAATCAAACTGGAATTTTAAGTGTTAAAGTTTTTTATAGATTTTAGTAGAGCTGAAGTTGTTTAACACAGTGGTCCCCAACCTTTTTTGCACCAGGGACCGGTTTCGCATCAGGCAATATTTTCACGGACCGGTCTTTAACATGTAGCAGATAAATACAAATTAATATCACATGACCAGCTTAAACACTGTGGTATGTAACGTGAGGAAATATGGGTTCTCTGTGCCAAAGGTTATACTTTGCCCGGCTGGGTCAAGAGCTGGGTCGCTGAGAGCTTTCACCCACAGATTAAGACCTGAACGCCAGCGAGTCTGGGAGAAACCATAACAACTGAACACCTGCAGTGCCAGAAGATGGGTTCTCATGGAAAAGCTAGTCATAACATAACAAAGTCTTAAACTTCCTTTCCTTTATTTTAAGTTGTTAAATGATCAGTATTATCACTTTGCTCATTATAAATGTGTTTTAATCAAATGAATGATTATTATGCTTTGGGTAATCATAATAACTAATGAATCAATGCTTAATTAAATAATGTTTGAAGATGTTATAATGACCTTCACACACACACACTCTCTCACAGTAAACTCCAAAACACATTTGGTCTGACGCACAAGTTTTGCTTTGAGAAGAGAAAGGCTTTTGGTAAGTTTTCAGTTGATGATTCAGTTCGGTGTTGGTCAACGAAAGAGGGAGGACTTGTGAACAACGCCAACGGGGAACGGAGCTGCGGCTCCTTTCTCCCCCCCCTCACGCAATTCCTGGCAAGCCAGACAGGAATAGCTGAATTGCAACCGCTAACGCAGACCCGTCCAGAGTCTTTTGATTTTCTGAGTAAATTAAACTTAAGAAAGCGCATCTGCAAACGCTTCATCATCACGTGTACCGGGGGGGCATCTCTGGACCGGATCGCCGCACACCTTTGTCTCCTCTGCCAGCCGAGGTGTGTCCTGCATGAAATATCGTCCTTTGACGTTCCGGATCTGAACGAGGGTCCTCGTACGGTGAGGCAGAACACAATAGATAGCGTTTGATGCATCTTTTCCAACAAAACCTATGTTTATTCAAACCATCACTTTTCACTCAGACACCTGTTTCTTCCTGGAGCAAAATCAGACACACACACGCATTCATCTCACCTCATTTTCAATTCTCACACATTCAACACAAGGTCTATTTGAGCAAGTTTAAAATATCAACTGTTAAAGATTGTTCAACAAAGTTGTCAACGTTGATTGTTATTTCCTATGTTTGTCATTTCAAAATCATTAGTTTAATTTGGAGAATTAAATCTTTTAACTTTCAAACTTGTCTCTTCATTGAACTGAAACACAGACCCACGGATATTATCGACAGTTTATCGATGAAAACAACCTTTGAGTCTTCTTAAAACTATAAAATTTGGTTATTAATTTATTAAAATTAATATCTCCAATTAATATGTAGAATGGTTCATCTTTCATAAAAGAGCCTAAACCATTACTCTACATAATTGACAGAGCCTACCCAGGTTCACTACAGGTATTTTTTAAATGCAACAATAAACGTGAATCCAATGTGCACTTGTAACCTCATCAGCATGAACACACACTACTAGTTCTCTTGTTCGCTCTTCCTTCTTCCATCTCAGGAACATTGCTAAACTGAGTCCCATTCTGTCTCGCTCTGAACTTGAGACAGTTCTCCACACCTTCATCTCCTCACGCTTAGACTACTGTAACTCTCTTTTCACGTGTCTGAGCAGAACCTCCCTGAACCGTCTACAGGTGGTTCAGAATGCCTGTGCTCGGCTTCTGACCAAGTCCTCCGAACACACCCACATCACCCCGCTTCTCCTCCAGCTTCACTGGCTGCCAGTCAACTTCAGGGTTCATTTCAAGATCCTAGTTCTGGTCTATAGGGCCTTACATGGACAAGCACCATCTTACATTGGTGATCTTCTTAGTCCCTACACCCCCAGCAGGTCCCTGAGGTCAGCGCACCAGGCTAAAGACCAAAGGTGACAGATCATTTGCTGCTGTGGCCCCCAGACTCTGGAACTCTCTCCCCCTGAGCCTGAGATCAGTGGACTCAGTGGTCTCCTTTAAAAAGCAGCTGAAGACTCACTTGTTCAAGCTGGCTTTTGTATGACCTTCTTCACCACTCTCTCTTTATTCGGCTCTCTCCACCTGTTCCGCCTTCCTCGGGATCCACTGATTTCCCTCTTTCCTATTCTCTTTCTCTCTTTCTTAACATTTTTTATTTTAAATCGCAATTGCTTATTCTTGCTAATTTTAAATATATTTTGAAACATTTTCAAAATGCTTTTTTTCTATTTTTACAATTTTTATATTTTTTGTTTTTGTGAAGCGCCTGGTGATTTTTATCTTGAGAGGCGCTATAGAAATGATATTTTCTTCTTCTTCTTCTACCATCTACTTAACGGTTATGTTGGTTAAGTTTTAACCCGTTAAGTTAAGTCTTAACCAACATTGCATTTCCACTCTCCCTAATGGCCTTGGTTTACATGGCAATTTAAAAACATGCTTTCAAGGTAAGATTCACCAAAAACAATTATAAAGTGAATGAAAAATACAACTCACCAAGGCTGCATCAATGGGAGCCTTGAGCTTGTTTCTGTGTGACGAGACGGTCCCATCTAGGAGTAATGGGAGATAATGAAACCCGAAGTGTGTTGCTTATGTCCAGTTTATTCCGTAATTTGGTTTTAGTTGCTGTCATTGCAGAAAACCCTGTTTCACACAGGTAGGATGTTGGAAATATAACAGGGTTTTCAATGCTGTTGTGGCGATTTCGGGGTATTCCGCCATGACTTTAATCCAAAAAACTGGCAGAGCCGTCGTCTCAAACATTCTTTTCAGTCCGCCATCATTTGTGATCTCCAGCAGTTGATCTTCTTCTTGCACAGAGAGGCTTGATTCATCTGGTTTGTGTACAAATGGGTCACGAACCCATTCCTTGGTCATGCGTGGGTCTTTTGTGGTTGGAAAGTAGCGATCAAACTCTTTTAAAAGCGCAGACAGGTGATCCTGCATCAGCTGGGAGCATGACGGCTCAGGCTCTTTCAACTGTCCTGATAATGTTGGAAACATGTCAAATATCCCCCTGTTCACACGCCATCCCCACAGATCCAGTTTTGCTTTAAATGCAGCTACTTTATCTGCCAACTTGAAGACGTTTGTCATTTTCCCTTGAAGTGACAGATTTAGTTCATTGAGAGCGCTGAATATGTCGCATAAGTAAGCAAGTTTTGCAACCCATTGCTCATCACTGAAATGCGCTGCCAGCAGTGACTTTTTTTCTGAGAGAAATCTCTGCAGCGGCTCTCGTAATTCAAACACTCTGGTCAGCGATCTCCCTCGGGATAACCATCTTATTTCTGTGTATAAAAGAAGGCGTCTGTGCTCTGCGTCCATCTCCTCACAAAGCTGCTCGAACAGGCGCGAGTTAAGGGCATGTGCTTTGATGTGGTTAATAACTTTGACAACATCTTTCAATACACAGCTAAGTTCTGGTGGCATTTTTCGGCTAGCCAACATTTCCCTGTGAATTATACAATGCGTAAACTCGCATTCAGGGGCAACTTCTTTAATCCGAGCAGTTAAACCAGACAGCCATCCGGTCATGGCGGCAGCACCGTCTGTGCATATGCCGACACAATAGGACCATTTCAGTTTTCCTGATACATAATCATCCAGTGACTTGAATAGTTCTTCGCCTGTGGTTTTTGTCGGCAACGATAGTGCACATAACATGTCCTCATGCAGGTCCTCCTGATACAGATATCGAACATAAACAAGTAGAATTGCTTTGTTTTCAATATCTGTAGATTCTTCTACCTGGAGTGCATACCACGGTGATGCATTAATCCTCTCCAACAGTTGTGAATTAATGTCATCTGCTATTTCCTCAATGCGTCGAGTGATGGTGCTGGCTGAAAGAGGCACCTGTGCTATTTTTTTTACAGCAGCTTCTCCAAGAAGTTCACGACAAATGTCTTTAGTGGCAGGGAGGATCAAATCTTCACCAATAGTGAAAGGCTTTTTAGCCTTAGCAATTCGGTTAGCCACCAAGTATGATGCTTTTAATGCACTTACGTTTGTTGATGTGGTGGCTCTCAGTAATTTCTCCTGCCCTTCTTGCTCATGTTTTTTTCTTTCAAAATACTACAAAGGCTTGCCTTTTAATGCTGGGTGTTTGGTCTCCAAGTGGCGAAGCAGTTTTGAAGGCTTCATTGCCTCATTAGAGAGATGTTTGCCACATATGTGTTTTGAGCGGTACCGTACAACGTGACCCGGGCAAGCTTCTACGCATGCGTCAAGAGTGAGAGGAACGTGGGTGTAATGAAGTGAATCTGGTCATTTTTCAAAATAAAATTCACTGTGTAATTTTTTTTTCCATGTGAAAACACTGTGCGGCCCGGTATCTGACCCAAGGACCGGTACCGGTCCGTGGCCCGGGGATTGGGGGCCTCTGGTTTAACAGATCTATGAATAAGTAGCTAAAAAATATGAATGTGTGATTTTTCTACAGCCACTTTTACGAGCGGCCCATTTTGTCCTCAAAGTTCACAAAAGGGCAGTGTTTTTTTTTTCATAGTGTTCCCTTGGTCTGTTTTCAAAACTCTCAAATCTCAAAAGAGAGAGCGGTTTTGCGACAAAAATGTATACCATATGCACAAACAATGCAAAAATGGTGTTGAAAGAAAAGGGGAAAACTGCCCTAATGGACAAAAATGTCCCTAATTATGCCTAACCCCAGTTTCACACTGCAAGCATCAGCGGAACGGAACGGCAGCAAGGCAGCACCGCTTCAAATAGAATCCAATTTTAGTCTATGGAGTGTTTCAAACCAGCTGCGACGCAGCAATTTTCAGGCGCGTCCCAGAAGCGGCATGCCGCACCGCGCCGCTAAAGATAGGATTGAGTTCTATTTTTTCCGCGAGCCGCTTCTGGGACACGTCAATTTCCGCAGTTCACATAGTGCGAGACAGGAAGCCACATGGTTTCAGTGCAAAATCCCTGATTATTTTCAAAATAAAATGCAACGTTGCGATGGTATATATAACTTACGTCAGCACGTGTGACCGAACGGCTTTGTTTACCGCCAGTTTCTTTCGAGAAGTGCAACGGTGTGATTCCTCATGGGGGTTGGGATCTCTCAATGAGGAAGGTGTCTGAAGTCTCGAGGGATTTTAGAATCTCGCGGGTACAGCGAGGTGCAGCGAGGAAGCCGTGCCGCGGTCAAGACTCTCCCGGTGTGAAAAGGACCGCTTTGAAGTTCACAAGTGAGCCGCTCCGCTGCTGTTCCGTTCCACTGATGCTTGCAGTGTGAAACCGGGGTTAGAGTTAATTTAGTGATGAATCACTCTTGTAGACACTGCGGAAGGCTGGGAGATGTTTCAGCTGTTAGATTAAGGCAGAAGTGTCGAACTCCAGTCCGTGAGGGCCGGTATCCTGCATTTTTTTGTTGCTTCCCTGTTCCAACATGGTTGATTCACCTGCAGCAGCTCATCAGGCTCTCCAGAAGCCTGTTAATCACCTGCTGATTGAAACCAGGTGTGTTGGAGCAGAAAAGCACCTTTTGACACCTGAAGATTAAGGTGTTGAAACGAAGAACGCACAGCGAGGAGATACGTTTTGCTTTCGGTTCCACAAACGGACACAAGGGGGTGCTAAAAGCAAGCTCACACTGCCGTTTCCCTTGAGCGGACTCAAAGCAACAGGGAATCTAGACTGAGTCAAGTTAAGTCGGAAAATCTTTTTTTACAGTGAACACATTTTCCTAGATTTATTTATTTATTTACAGATAAAAAAAGCCTCTAATAAATGAGTCTAGCTCTATGTGATGATAGGCAGTCCCTCTAATAACTGCAGTCAGTTTTTAAGGTTCTGATCCATTTAGATTTGTTAAAGGGAGTCGCAAAACACAAAGGGCATTCTGGGTAATTTGTTCAGAACCTTTTTCTTCTGCTTTGTTGTTTTTGTGTCCATAAATATTTTACAATGTTTTTTTTTCTGTTCCATAACTTTTTGTTTTCTTTTTCACAGAATAGAAAAAGAGATCAAAGACTTGGAGACACAAGAGCTGAACATTTCTGCCAATGAGGAGGTGGTTCTGAGGCGCTTGAAGGAGGTGGAGAGGACGCCAGAGGACATCATCAAGGTAGGGTCCAACTAGAGCTGCACGTCTCACTAACACTGATGCTGAGTCTTGATAACTCTACTGCAGCGCTCCTAAATGCTGCCGTCTGCTCACCACTGAAAGATAAAAACCAAAAGGAACTCTAGAACCTGACCATGATGGTGGCTGGATGAGTCTGTCCATTACTGTTGCAGCATCACACCAGAATGTTAACGAGAGAGCAGGGCAGAGGAACACTCAGTGTCTCACCTAAGTCAGACATGTTAGATGACTTCATACATGTTCTGTTTCTGAATATTCCTGCAATATTTATGAAATTCTTAATAACTAACAGCAAATCTCTGGAGGCCTGAAGCATGTGGAGTAATGTTCCTCATGAAGACATAAACATCAGTCATAACCTGGATGTGCAGGTTCTGGGTCAGATCGGCTGGTTGGTTTTAAAACCACAGTGGGATCGTTTTTAGGAGCCACTTTATGGAAAAATATTAATAAAATAAATCATCATGAATGCCAAAACATGCAGATTTCATTGGTGATTCCCTCTCTGAAGAGTGGGTATGAGCAGTGTTGGGCAAGTTACTTCAAAACTGTAATGCATAATTTATTACTTGTTACCCTCATTTTAAAGTAATTGATTACATTACAATATCACTGATTTTAAAATGTAAGGCATTACACTACTTTTGCATTACTTTCAGTTACTTTCACCGAAACAATTTCAATAGGAATTAGGTCATGTGATGCTCAGTGAACTCATGACACATCCAGACGAAGGCGATGTGGTGTCTAAGCTAGGATGGCTGTTAAAAACAGTCAGATATAATAACAGTTCTTTATTAAATAAATGCAACAACAATCTGTACTCTCAGCACGCTGCCATCTTATATTAAATGAGTAGGGAGTGAGGTGGTGGGGGCTCCAAGCCTATATTTGCCTTGGTCCCCAAATGCCTTGATACGGCCCTGGATGTGGGACTGGCTTCTGGGGTGATCTGATTCTATCACATGTATAAATATTAAATGCTTACATATTATTGCTTTTCATTGGTAAAAATGTGTATTGGGGATAAATCTACCTACTTTTTTTTTCTTTTCAAGCACTTTGTTTTGTTTTCTTGATTTTATTTGAATAATTTCCTGCCCTTTCTCTCTCTAACCTTCCTGCATGCTGCATGTTTTCTCCGTCTTCCAGAAAAACTGTTTCCTAGACTTCCTACTTTCTAACCAATCAGCCAAAGGCATCCACCAAACGCAAAAAAAAAAAAAAGCTTCATATGCGCTGCGCTCCAGCAGTAATGAGTTGAAATCACCAGGCGAGGGCATAGATTATGAACTCAGCTGAGGCAAAGCACGTCAGAAAAGTACATGAAGTACCAGAGAATATGGGCTAATATGAACGATCGCAAGTGAATTATTTCTTTTTGGTGGAGCGATTTTGTGAATATAACAGCGGCCGCGCGCTGGATGCAGTTGGAGTATTTGAGCCATTACCGCTGCGTCCTCTCTGCTCATAGAATGCCTGCAAAGCGGAGTCCATAAATGACGTAATATATGTAGATACCGGATCTTTACTTTGGGCTTTCCGCAATTTTAATTTTTAAGAAACCCACGTCTTGATTCTGGGTTTAAAAATGCATTGTAATTACCGCGTTACTGACAATTGTACCGAGTAAATATTACCATTTTCTTTCCCTGTAATGCCTTACATTACCACATTACAGCTAAAAGCAATGCAGTACAGTAATTAATTACTTTTGTACCGCGTTACTCCCAACACTGGGTATGAGGTAGACTGATTATTATATTTTAAATGTGAACAGCATTTTATTTTTCGTTTAAAACATCAATTTAAATCTAAACATTTAGAATCAAATTTCAATATTTTGTATGGACTTTAACTCCTTAAATTTCCAGATTTAATGAACGCAGTGGGGTTTTGTCCCATGGGCGGGACACTGGAATGCTAAGGGGTATAACTCCCTAAACTCAGAACGAAACCTAAATGTGTAAGCTAGCTCTCGGTGACAGTTGGACTCTGCCAAGGCTGGCCTTTGTCACCGGTTCTGTTCTTAACTTTTATGGGCAGGGGTTTGTAGGCACAGCCAAGGTGTTGAGGGCATCCGTTTTGGTGGCCTGGGGATCAGGTCTCTGCCTTTTGCAGATGATGTGGTCCTGTGGACTTCATCAGAACGTGATCTTCAGCTTTCGCTGGAGCGGTTTGCAGCCGAGTGTGAAGCAGCTGGGATGAGAATCAGCTCCTCTAAATCTGAGACCATGGTCTGGATTCGGAAAAGGGCAGAATGCCTTCTCCGGGTCTGGGATGAGGTCCTGCCCTAAGTGGAGGAGTTTAAGTATCTCGGGGTCTTGTTCCCGAGTGATGGAAAGCTGGAGCGGGAGATCAACAGGCGTGTTGGTGCTGCATCTGCAGTGATGCAGGCATTGTACCAGTCTGTCCTGGTGAAGAGAGATTTGGGCGAAGGTCTCGATTTACCGGTCGATCTACGTTCCTACCCTCACCTGTGGTCATGAGCTTTGGGTAGTGACCGAACGAATAACATCGCGGATACAAGTGGCCGAAATGAGTTTCCTCTGCAGAGTGGCTGGGCTCTCCCTTAGAGATAGGGTGAGAAGCTCTGTCATCCGGGAGGGGCTCAGAGTAGATCTGCTGCTCCTCCACATCGAGAGGAACCAGTTGAGGTGGCTCAGGCATCTGGTTAAGATGCTTTCTGGACGCCTCCCTGGTGAGGTCTTCAGGCACGTCCAGCCGGGAGGAGGCCTAAAGGGAGACCCAGGACACCTGGCCTGGGAACGCCTTGGGATTCCCTCGGAGGAGCTGGCCCAAGTGGCTGGGGAGAGGAAAGTCTGGACCTCTTGACTTAGGCTGCTGCCCTCATGGCCCGGCTCCAGATAAGAGGAAGAAAAATGGATGGATGAATGGATGGATGAATGGATGGATGGACCTAAACCTATGATAGTGATGGCCGTCAGTCATCCAGCTCATAGTAATCCTTTAGCTTCAGTAGGCAACTGGATTTCTTTATTTCCATGGAAATTATGTGCTTCTCACCTGTGTAGCTTTGTAATTTATTGCTGGAATATGCAGACTACATGTCTGCATTACTCCTCCTGAGAAGTCATTGATGTTGGTAGGCGCGGTTATGTTGGACCGATCCACTTGTGGGTGTTTTTAGACTGATGCAGGAAGGTGTGAGTTAGACTGAACTGTCTGGGGATCAGTTTTTAATCTGTCTCTAGTTGGAACTAGAAAACCCCCCACTGGAGCAGAATAATCCAGCAGATCCCAGTAACAACCTGAGATCCCTCCAGAGATTTCCACTTTGGAATCCTGTTAAAAGAAAGGATCAATCAATCAATCAATCAATCAATCAAAGCTTTATTTATAAAGCGCCTTCCGCGACCCAGTCAGGATCCCAAGGCACTGAACATGGTACATGAGAAATGTGAAACACGATGAATAAATTGATAATAAAAGCAATTCAAATAGTGCAAAAAGGGTAAAACATTAAAGTAGAAGCAAATGGGTAAAACAAGGGGTAAAGAGACCAATGAAAGCAGGGACATAAAATCAACATAAAAGAGGGCCAAACTCAAACACGTTCAGGGAACGCCAAGCAGAGGAGGTGGGTTTTTAGGCGACTCTTAAAAGACTGGCAGAGATGGGGACAGCCTGACTGAGGGTGGCAACTGGTTCCAGAGTGACGGGGCTAGGGCTGAGAAAGCCCGGTCCCTACGAGTACGACACCTAGAATGAGGGACAGCGAGCAGGCCTTGGTCAGAGGAGCGCAGAGCGCGTGATGGCGAATGTCTGCTCAGGAGCGTGGCTGATAGGAGGGAGCACCACCCTGGAAGAAATTGAAAACAAAGACCAGGAGTTTAAAGTGTGAACGATAACAGACCGGAAGGGAGGATCACATCGATCACGGTTTTTATCCATCTGTTCTCTTCATACAATCACTGATCTTTTACTTGTCAAAGGGTTATTATGACACATTTGGGAAAGATCTAAACCATACATGAAAACAGACGTTGGGAACGATGCACCAAGGGGCAGGAACATCAGAGGTTCTTGGGGAACTTTCTAGTTCGTTTTGCGTCATTTTCTTGCTGTTTGCTGCTTGTGGTTGTTCCTCTAACCCGGCTTGTTTCTAACACCTCCTCTGGACCGTGACGGACTCACATGGAGGGTGTGGGTGCAGGATTAACCAGACCTGGTGACTTCAGTCTGTTTGTCCTTCTGCTGGCCTTTGGTTGTGTTGATCATTTCAACTGTAACATCTTTGGTCCAAAACTCTTCTGTCTTCATGTGTAGGAGCTAATCGCAGAGTTCCAGGCAGGTAAAAACACCTTTCCTTTCTGTTATGTCTAAGTTAATATGTTTTAAACATGCTCTATGATTAGGCAGCACTCACACGTTAAAGTTAGAACATGGAACATTTTAATAAAAAGCTGTATTTAAAAAAAATAAACCTCAGCCGGGCGTTCAGAGGTGTGCAGAATGAATGTACAGTTTCTCCTTTTAAAACTATATTTTAAAAGATAAATAATCAAATTTTTATTCTGTCGGGCACAACACCGTGTTTATGTTTACATCTACCAGCCACTAGAGGGCACCGTTGAGCTAAAAAGTCAGCTCAGCAAGGCGAGGCTGGGACTGTGTAAAATGGCAGACTTGAAAAGTCAAGCAGCTGATTCTGAGCCCAGAAGATGTTCTAACAGTAAATACTGTTGTAAAATAAACGTATTAGCAGAAGTTAGTCCTTATCCTGTAGGGGTTGTCCCTGAACATGGTGCTGGAACGTGTCAGCAGTGAACCAACATCCCAACGGCCAGAAAATTAGTCCTGTTGTGGCAATACCACCTCTGAACACCAGAGTTTGCCAGTGTCAGTGTTCCATATTCTACCTTTATAAGATTTTAGCTCGTTTGACACACAGTGTTACACTAACAGCTGATCTCAGTAAAATGTTTATTTTTACATTTTCTGACTGGTTGCTCATCTTTTTTGGGGCCCATTATTTTTGAAACTATCATTTAAATCCAGTTGAAATAAAGTTTCCACTGATATTCAGTAGCTGATTTGTTGGGGTTTTTGTTTGTTTGTTTCTTTTCTTAAAGACTTCTACTTAGACTGTACACACAAGTTTAATCTCTTGAGGATTTTAAGCTCTTTGTATTTTGTTTGACAACTTTAGATTAAATGTAAATTATCAGGGTTTCATCTGTTAGACTTAGACACCATCTCCCATCACTTCCATTTGTGATGTTGTGGTCCCCTCTTGCAGTTCTCTATTGTTTAAAGATCAAATTCACTCATATTTTAACACATTTGCAGTTGTTTCTAGTGGGAATGAATGCCGTGTAAATTGTATTGTGGGGAATAAAAGCTCAGATGCTCTTGTTTGAGGATAGAGGACGTCAGCTGGAGGAGCTTGAGATGACTATTTGGACTCTTATTTCATGATATTTGGACATCTCACCTCTAATTTGATGTCAGCAACGCAACTCTACCACTGGCTGTTCGATAACGTTGATGTTTAATCTCCACAAATAACACAAGCCTGAAAGAGTTCTGCTGTGTGGTGGAGCTGCTAATGCTAACATTTAGCTTCTACTAGCCAAGACGTTCTCTGCTGTTTCCTGGACGCTAAACCAACTGCAGCCTGGGTGAGTCCATGAGTGTTAAGTGACAGTGGGACGTAGATATGTCAGAATTTTCTGATCCAATCATTTTTCCGTCTATTTTCTATCAGAAGCTAACGCAGGAAATTCTTGGATGGGTATATCTGCGTGTTTTCTGTATTCTTTTTTCAATTTGAATAAATAAAGTTGAACATAAAAAATAAATGTGGTAGATGATCATTTTCACGTTCAGCCTGCAGCTGTGACCGATCTACATAATCAGTGAAAATGGTTTTTCAGTGAAGCTTCTCTTCAAGTTTCTGCAGAGTCTGTGTCTGGTTTTGAGTAAGTTCTATCAGGTTCTAACTGGTTCTATTGGGTTCTCTAAGCAGGTTCTGTCTGGTCCCAACTAGCTATGAACATAAAGGATCTTGTATCTGCCATCAGGTCTGAGCAAGTCTTGGACTGAAGACACTGATGTGAAGTTATTGTCTACTGAAGAGGACGATCCGCCCTGCTGAAAAACCAGCATGGATGGTTACCCTGTGTTTTGGTGTGGGTTAGCTGGTGGATCAGCATGCAATGCTCTCTAGAGGTTCAAGAACCATCCCCGGAACAAACCCGCCTTCTTTATCAACTCCTTCAGGTTTTAACAACCACTGGCTCTGATGCTGCAACCCCAGCAGAACTCTGGAACATTCCATTCCATGATTCTGTGGATATCCCGACGCTAGTGCAAAAGTCCCTTGCTGACTCGCCTGTTGTGCTTGTCAACAACTGCACATCTGAGAGGAAAATGCTGAGGAGGGAGAGCTGGTGCTATGTTAGCTTTAGCTTAGCATTTCACATTCCACTGCTTTTGTTTCCGCCCTTTAGATCTTCTGATCTGCTGAGTTACTCACGCAGCATCAACATGTGAGCTCAGGAATGAAACCAAGGTCTCTGTGTCCAGTTCTGTCAAATGAGACTTATGGCAATTTAGGTTTGTCCGCCCTTTAGATCTTCTGATCTGCTGAGTTACTCACGCAGCATCAACATGTGAGCTCAGGAATGAAACCAAGGTCTCTGTGTCCAGTTCTGTCAAATGAGACTTATGGCAATTTAGGTTTGTGATTGTTAAAAACTGTCCTCCTCGCGTCTCACTCGTTGTCTTAGTGAGCTGGAATGATGGGCTTCAAACTAAATGAGCAGCTGTGTGGAAGAATGTCTGGGTGTTGTTTATGTCTACCATGCTGTGGCTTTTTTATGTTTTAATTTTACTGGTAATGTCTTGTTCTTAACTGAGACACACTATGTCCCCACGTCCATCAAAGACGTCTCACAAGCCCCAGAAAAAAGGCACCCGGTATGTCAAGATGGTGACGAAGCCAAGCGAGGTATGGCAACATTTGTTCAGAACATTTTAGTAATAGTCCATTAAGCTAAAGCTAGCAGGTGCTGAGCAAGAATGTCAGATACAAATCAGATTTCATCTAAAAATTCTAAAAAAAAAAAGAATTATCTTTATAGTTAGTGACTCCATTCTTTATCCTAAGACTTTTTTTGTGTTTTTTTTTTTTGCAGCCACCTTTGCTATTAAAATCAGCATAGAGCATGATTTTAAAACAGGCAGAAACCAGGTGCTCTCTACAGCAGCTGTAAGCCACGAGTCAATGCAGGGGGAGGGGCTAAAGGTGTATGATGATGGGCGGAAGTCTGTGTACGCTCTGCAGTCTGAGAGAGACCAAAGTCCCGGAGGAGCTGTGGAGGTAATGACCCCCACCCAGGTGGAGGAGCTTCTGCATCAGGCCATTGAGGAGGGGGTGCAGTATCATCAGCCTGTCTTCTCAGCACCTTACATGGGTACGAGCAGACCGCCAACACCTCGGACACCAACCAAATCACACCTCAAAGACAAAACTCAGTGCAGCCAAGACCTGAAAGAACAGACCCCCCCGCAAATACCACAACCAGACCTCCCTTCAGGCGCCAAGACACTCTGCTGTAGCACTTCAGGACAGAATCAAAGGAATCTGAATCTTTGGTCAAAGTTCAGTCAGACATCTCCACCGGGATCCACCTTCATGAACACCGATGCCAACAGTCCAAACTCTGTGGCTCCTGTCCAGGTTACAGTCAGGTCTGGGGGAACACCTGCACCTACCTATGGATCTCCCAGTGGACTCAGCCCGTCTTTAGTCAACCATGAGTCTGCTGCTCTAATAGAGAGATCAGCCAATTCTCCCAGACACATACCCATCCACCCGGAGAACCGAGCCAACACCGAATCCATCACCATGGTCTTCATGGGCTACGAGGACGCTGCAGATGAAGAGGAAGGTGTCCAAGCTGAGATAGTTCTGATCACCGACAGCAGTGATGAAGACGGTGCAGACAGCTGTGTGGGAAACCAAAGAGAGAGGAAGGAATATTTATCATATCACCCAGAGGGATGCAAGAGCAAAATCTTCCAACCCAAGATGGGCGTGGTCAAAGTTTCACGTGACGGAGACCTCACCGAGGAGGGTTTGGAGCTCCGCAAGCCGACATTCTGTCACAGGTCCGGAAAACGCAGCTGGTCTCTGCAGAATCAGTAGGTCCAGGAGGCTGGAACCAGCAGCACCGGTACCATCGGTACCAGCGTCTGTTCCACAGTCAGATGAGACCAAGCCAGAGAGAAAACACCACAGGTCTTTATTCTGCCTTCCTCCTACCTCCCTCTAGGACCTGTTTCATAAACGCTGTACTGCCCTCTGCGGGCCTAGATCATAACTGCTGTCAACGTTATTTTAGCTGATTTATAAATATTTCTCAGGTCAACAATAACCAGGCTGTTTTAATTACGATGCATTGGTATTATCATTATTACACTTTTTAATCTTCATACAGACATCTACACACAGTGAAAACAGCTGTTGGATTATTTACCTGCAAGTGTTTTTACTGAAAACATTTTCACATCCGTTTGATTAAACTTCCGTTATGAATGCAGCTGCCTTGAGTTCTGGGCTGGAAATGAAAATCTGTGATGTTTCTTCTAAATAAAGGATCATCCCTCATCAGCTGACGCAGCAGCGTTTACGTTCTCTTTTGATGGATCAGAACCAGTCAGAAACGTGAAGGTGCGTGTGTGTGTGTCACTTGTCCTTGGGCCCTCTCTCCTCTCTGAGATGACACAAAGGCTCAGAGTGAAAACACTTATGTAACAGATTTTTTCCAGACGAAGTGGATCTGAGCTGAAGGAAGCTGCAGCCATGTTGTGTTTCCGTGACTGAACGGGAAAATCTGTCTCCTTGTTCTGGTGGGATCATCATCAGGTTCTGGGTTCTCCTGGAAACTGAGCTCACGTTTCTGTTGATGAACGCAGAGCTGAAAACTCGCAGCCGAGTCACGTTTCAGACTTCCATCGTGTTTATCCTCATCAGCAGTAAACACACAAACCTAATGGTCTCAGCTGGTTTCATAGCCTCACCTACCCGTTGTAACGGAATAGAGTGATGTAACTATCTAGAGTTGTATTTTAATACACTGTAAGTAGATCACTTTTTATAATCAGAAGAATAGGCTGTTTTTATCATCAGGGAGTTTAATTAAACACTCTGTATTGACTTTGAGACAAGAAAAGAGAGAGAGTTGGGATTGTTTGAGAATCTTTAATTTCTTAATTATAAATTCTTAACAATCTACCAGGACTAACTCTGTGATGGATGAAAATGGATTTGGATGTTGTGTTGGTGCGTGTGTGTGTGGTTGGTTCAGACTCCTTAGGCTGACGTCATTGAATCTGGTCGTCTTTGTTATGACTAGATATCACGAGGCTTATAAAGTGATGACATGAGCCGCTATTTTGCCGTGTACGTACCCAGTGGGGGGCCTCCCAGGTAGATCAGGAAATGCCAGGTCCACGAACCTCGGATGTGTACTGGAGCTGTCGAAGCAGCGGTCGCAGCACGTCAAAGCCCGTCTGAAGGGTCGACCCCGGTACCAATCGGCAGCGTCAGCAGGTGCTCTTATTTTGAAAGGATGTCGTCTGGTTGTTAAACGACGAAAATCTCCAACTTCACAGTTCTTAGTTTAAAGAAGAAAACACATCTGGCCAGCCTGTGCTTCTCTTTGGGATGACGGTGAATAGAACTGAAGTCAAAATGGAACTGAGCTTAAAATGGCGTTGCCTTGTTTTATATCTCTGAATTGTTGATAAGTTTTAGTAAAGGGGATTGGACACTTTAAGTCAACAAGCCAGATTCTCCTGCGGCAGCCGAAAGCTCTGATTGGTTGGAACAATGTGTCATGCGTTTCTATGGAGATGAGGATCAGTCTGTCTGTGCAATAGTCCTGTTTTCATTAAACACATAAATCATGACATCTTTATTCCACAGATCATTCACTTGATTATTATTGATCAGCATATGTTTTGCTTAATTTTTTTAATCACAAATAAAGTACTTTGATTAAGTAAAAGTGTTCTTCTTCTCCTTCGGACTCTTCTCCTGGAATGTAAACAGTCTGAGGAACACCCGACCTTGGCGTTTTCAACACGGGTGTTACTGTGCACAGGGGCAGCTGTGTGGAGCTGAAAATAATGAACTTCATAACCTTACATATCCCCCCTTTTCAAGGTCAATGTGGTCCTTCAAGAGACCACTTGGTCGTTGAACAAACCCAAGTTATGAAGAATCTTGACAACAGAACCGGATGCGATCCCAAGGGAACAGCCATCTGTGGTGAGGTACGAACCCCACGCCGGAGAACAGTCTCGCATACTCCTCAGGAAGAACACAAGTCAGCAGGTTATTAATCATTCCCCATGGAAGCCACAAACGAAGCAACAGCAACTTTATATCCTCACGGGCAATAAAGCAAAGCAGGAGCAAATCTTGTACGTATCCACGAACAGGGTAGTATTCCAATTAAAAATCGATTGTTGTATCTGCAGGCAGGGTAATATTCCAAATAAAAATTTAACTTTGAAAGAGTACTTATCGTAATCCACAAAAAGGGAAGAGCAGTTGACTGTAATCCCAACGAATGAGGTGTCCCAGCAGCCATGCCGGAACCACAGTCGTCCAAGGCCAACGAGCCGAAGCACCCTCAGGAGTAGTCGATGCAGATGACGAGTCACGGATCCACCCCCAGGAAGCAGGATCCTCACAAGCTCAGCAGAGGAGAGAGAGCACAGTGTAGGCACTTCAATGTAGACACGACAAAAGTGCATTTCATGTCATCAAAGAAATAAAAAATAATAAAAACCTAACTCTATGAGTGCCTTTTGTACTATGTGTTAGTTTTATGTGTAATTACCCATGAAGTGAAGAAATGGATGCAGCCCTGTCTGTGTTAGATGCAAAAAGGGATGATGCGAGAAGCAGAAAAATGAAAGAAACCCTAACTGGTATCAGTGAATCCTCACTGTAAATACACGCTGTCAGGACAGGGGCAAAATTGGTTATAACCCCGTGGGATAAATCAAAGAATTGATAATCACAAACATAATATTCACTGTTAAAATCAACTGGTCAAAGGTACTATAAAAAAAAAACAGAAATGTAAATCAGTACTAAAATGTCAATCAGTGGTTAGTAATCATGTTCATGTTAATGTACCCCTAAGGAAATGTGATTAGTAAAGATTAAAAAAAAAAAAATTTTGGACCACAGTACTATGTGGCCTAACCCACTCACTGTTACCTGGCCGTTTACCTGACTCCAGGAGCCCACAGCACGTCTGTCTCAACACACCTTAAGTCTGCACGTGACGTATAACAGGAAGACAACCATGCACACTCACAAACAAACAAATTTGTGTTATCAGAGATAGAAATCTGTGGAACCAACGGGACGTATTTTTTCACCCCCCTTTTGAAGTCGGTGGATTGTTGTTGTTGGTATCGGCCAAATCTGTGGGACCCTTGTGCAGTTTGATATGGTCCCTGTGTACCCATTTGTAGACGGGCGACTTGTTCTTGTCGGCGATCTTGATCTGATACACGACCGGAGAGATCTTATCAGTAATCAGGTATGGACCCGACCATTTGGGCAAAAGTTTCTTAGTCAGCTTCCCCGAGGTCGCATTCTTGTTACCCGTTTTGGGAGCGAAAATGTAGTACCAGGCCTGATCACCTACATCGAGTTCGGAATGTGAGGCTTTCTTATCGTAATAAGTTTTTCTGCCTTCAGCTGACTTTTCCAGAGATGCCTGTGCTAACGAAAATGCTGCAAGCAGGTGAGTCCTCAGGTCCTGCAAGTATTGGCCGCTCGTACAAGCCGGGGCTGTGTCGGACCGAACCGGTCGTTGATACAGCAGGTGAAGCGGTAGAGTCATTTGTCTGCCCGTCATCATTTCAAACGGGGAGACACCTGTAGACTCATGGGGGGTAGCCCGTATGGCCATGAGGACCAACGGAAGTTTCACATCCCAATCTCGGTGGTTAGCTTTCACGTACTTTTTTAACATGCTGATAACCGTGCGGTTCACCCTTTCGACCTGTCCAGAGGACTGGGGCCGGTGGCTAATGTGGAACTTAGCCTTGACACCCAACAGTTCCCAAAGATGTTTCATCACCTCAGAGGTGAAATGGGTACCCCTGTCCGAGTCGACCCTTGTGGGCAAACCGAAGCGGGCAAAAACGTGATTCAGCAAGAGGATCGCTGTAGTCTTAGCCGTGTCATCAGGTGCTGGCAAACATTCAACCCATTTGGTGAATGCGCATGTGACAGTCAGTATGTACTTACTTCCTCTGGTGGATTTGGTCAGAGGCCCCACCCAATCGAATTGCAAGTCCGACCATGGAGTGGTCGGCCCTTTTTCTTGTAGGGGAGCTCTGTGCGTAGGGTTGGACGGCTGAAACTGACAACAGACCAAGCAACGCTCGACGTGGTCCGAGATGTCACGACGCATCCCCGGCCAATAAGCAACCTGGCACAGGGCACCGAACGTGGCCTTGACGCCTTTGTGACCGGCGGATGGAGAGTCATGAGCCTGCGAGATCATGCCCCTCCTCATCGGTTTTGGAGTAACAAGGACAGGCGGCGAAGGAGGCTTGGCGGCGTGCATCAGCAGCCCTTCGACGACCCTCAGCGTGGACCACACACGAAAGAGAGAGCGAAGCTCTGGAACAGAATCAAGCTCGACGGAAGTTGGTAGCTGGGTTGTAGGATCAGAAATGTACTTGATCATCCTGCTGATAGCAGGGTCCTGGGATTGAAGACTGACAAGATCGGTATCCGAATAGGCAGGTTGAACGGCCACCGCACCTTTGGGTGGTTCCGAGGCGGACGCTTTAGCAGCCCGAGCTCGAGTAACAACACACACCTGGTTCTCATCAGGGAAAGACCACACAAGTCCCTCAAGCCACCCAGGGTCGAAAACCCACAGGGGGACATCGGTCGCGCCCTGTTTGGCCAAAGAGTCTGCGAGATCGTTCAACTCTTTTTCAGGACCGGGTGCGCAAGAGTGACCTTTGACATTACGCCAGTAAATGTGCATGTCAAGTGCAGTGACCAGAACGTCACATGCCCTGAAGAGGGCCTGATTTTTGACGGGCTTCCGGCTAGCGGTCTGGAACCCGTTACTCTTCCACGTTGGTAGATGACATAAGAAACTGAGACGCGCGTAGTCCGAGTCAGTGCAAATCACCAGTTCAGGGAAGCCACGGTCCCTAGCGCTACATAGCGCTATCACGATCCCCGCTACTTCAGCATACTGTGAGGTCTTCTCACCCAGAGAGTAACATCGGGACTCCCTGTGGTCACCGTCTACCCAGATGACACCCACGCCCGCACTAGGCGCAGAACCGTGCCAAAAAGCACTGCCATCCACGTATACGGTCGGTAAACCCGCACAGTATGACTGGTCGTAGTAGTGGTGGTTGTGGTTTAGAAGAGCCTGAGGGGGCCTGGCTGGCGGGACTGACGCAATGGTGTCGTCCTAGCAGTGTTGGCACGCAGCCAAATCCATGCCAAGAGGGCTACGTCGGTTCTGGGCGTAGCGCACCTCGATGTCGAAGCTTTGAAGAGCCAGCAGCCACGAAGCAATTCGTGAATTGGTCACCACACCATCTCTGAT